GTTATATTAGAATATGGTAAAAAGTTTAGCTATCATTACAAATTCTTTTAATTCGATCGTTTATTAGAATTTAGAATTTAATTTAATAAACAAAAAAAATTTGACAATAGTAAATAATAACATTTTAAAAGAAAATTACCATCCCAGGAAACGACAACCCTCGTCTCATCCAATTACCAGAATTAAACCCGGCCAAAATATCGTAATTTCGCATCAAATTACATGCCTGCACGCTGGGTTTTCCAATTATTTAAAAATATTGGAGCAGTCGAATCCATTTGTTCCTCAATTAAAACAAAGTTTCCGATAATTATTCCCTGTTCTTCACCCACTACTTTTTCCAATTTCTGGGATTTTTTAAAACAGAACTTTTTAGTATAACATATACCTTTTTTAATTAAAAGATAAGAACATATGAAGTTTCAGCTTTTAATTTAGTGTTAAAATAAGAGGTCTCTAACTAAAACTTGAGAAATTAGGTGCAATGGGAATATTTTTTGTCAACAATTGCATAAGCAGTTCTTTTGAAAGCGACATCTGCATGCAATCTATTGGGTAGCAAATATTAAATTCAAAAGGATGATCCTCCAATATTCTCCCCTTTGAATTATATTATGCACCCAAACTCGAAAAAAAAAAAGATTTTTAATTTGCAAGTTGCAATTTTATCTACAGTTGGCCATTTTATCAATCATTAATGTTTCTATTGGAATCACTGCCAATCAAACACAGAGTTTGATTACTTTTTTATTTGGCTGTTCCCTCTGTACCAATAGCCAAAAGGGGTGATTTCTTTATTTTGTAGTTTATGGCAATTGGAGAAGATAAACAATAATTTCTCTCTCCATTTCCAGTCATGTTCTGTTCTGTTCATCCCTCTCTCCCTTATCCCACTTTTAATTATAAATTATGAAGCCTGGCTGTGGCTGCTGACCAATTCCGAGATATTGGCCCACACAATGAGAAAAATAATACTGAATTTGATCCCAATGTGTTCAGATTTCGTGGATAATTCGTAATGTGTAAGATTTTTTCAGATGGGCATTTCCCAAGTTGATTCAGTTTCCTAATTTTCTTTTGGGTTCGAAGACTTGAGAAACTGAAGCAGCCATTGAAAGAAGGAAGATGCTTCACAGCTTCACAGGGTAAGAGATTCTTGCTGTAACTTTAACCAATTTCTACCTTGTCTTTTGCGCTGAGACGACGAAGACCAGGGAAAAAGAAGAACAGAAAAGCAATTTTTAATCGATTCAACTGCGAGAATTGGGGGTTTTAGGTTTTAACACGAAAGAAGAACAGAAAAGCAATTTTTAATTGATGGGTCGATGTCAAGTCAGCGCAAAAGTCAAAGCTCCCGTTTGGAATCAAGCAGCAAAAGGGAATTATTCCCTCACAAAATCTCAGTCTGCGGCGTCTCAGATAACGCCCCACATGCCTTTCCCTCCGCCCACAACTCTTCCTCTGGCTCTGCCTCTGGTTTCAGCAGCGGTTTTCGAGCCTCCGCCTCCTCTCCCGACTTAATGGAGCTCTTGAATCCCCCATCTCTGCACGCCCTTCATGGGTTCTCTTCGTCTCGTCGTTTGCTTCATCCGATGGTGAACCCTCGATTGCGCGGCACCGCCGACGAAGAAGGGGTTCACGGCGGCGATTTTGTTTACGTTGCTGTTGGGAAATCGGTTGACAAGTCTACAAGTTTGCTCCACTGGGCCTTCCGTCGCTTTGGCGATGAAGAAATTCGTCTCCTCCATGTTCATCAGCTCTCTTCTGTCATACCCACGCTACGTGAGTCTATGATTCTATTCTTGCTATTTCTGATTATGTAGCACGGTTTCCTTCAATGGGATATTGGCCTTGGGGGCTTTCTTTCTTCAAAACTTGAAAATCCCAGATCCAAATAGTGTCCCTTTGCTTACTTTTTCGAGTTTCAGATCCAAATTTTATGTTTGAGATTCGAGATTCTTTGTCTCTTACTCTGGGCATGCCATTTTTTAAACTTTGTTTGTTAATCTCAACGCAGTAGGGAAGCTACCTGCAAGCCAGGCAAATACAGATGTGGTGGCTGCATATAGGAAGAAGGAGTGGGAACAAACATCTCAGCTTCTTGAAAATTATATGGGGTTTTGCCAAAGAGCCAAGGTTTGGTTTGTTTATGTGTTTTGGTTTCATTTTATGTGTAACTGTGAAGCTAATCAATCTATGCCACATGATTGTGTTATTAAACCAATGAAGTACTTCTAGTTGTTGAATATTAGTTCAGAAATGGCTGAATCTTGTGCTCTTTAGCTTCCATTTGTATTCTTTAAGATACATAACATACTAGCTTCCACTTTGCTTTTGCATGCCATAATCTATATTTGCATCTGGTTTTAAGAAGATATCATCTTAGAGCTTTTATTTCTTCCTATGATGAATTTTTTTTTTCTTTTCAAATATTTGTGCAAATAGTTGGGAATTCATATCTTATGGTTTTCACCGACCTAGAATATTAAAATCTTATGAGTTTAGTTACAACAAATATTAGGGTCAGGTGGTTGTCTTTGCGAGATTAGTTATTGTAGTTCCATTGAGATTAGTCGAGTTGTGCCTAAGTTGAAAAAATAATTGTGAAACTGATTTGTTGTTATCCATGGATTAAACTAATGTCTTAGCTCAATGCTCTAGAAGGAATACCTTAACCGACCTTTTTTCCTTTTGTTTTTCCGATAACTCGCACCATCTATTGATTGGTCAGTTTCAGCGTATGTATGTATATGTGTGTGTGTGTGTGTATATATATATATAATTTTAACTTTTAATTTTCTATTTTCTATTTTCTATTTTTAGAACTTGTTTTTTAATAGTTTTATTTATTTTACGAAAACTTCAAATTTTCTAATATTAATTTTAATTACTAAATCATATGTAATGAAATTATTTTAATAATTTTTTGAATTATTAAACCATAAATTTGAGGTGGCTGGGCAGGGGTAATCGACCGATTGGGTGGTTTTGCAAAAGGCAAAATCGACCTTGACTGGCACCTCTCTCAAACCGACTAATCGACTTTGGTTTGGTCGGCTTAGTTTTTCGGTTGTCCTTGTGCACTCCTAGTTGTCATTGAGAGTATCTATTTGAGTACTAGGGATATATTGGGAATATTGTTAATATATTAGGGTGAGCTGATTATAAATAGAGGAAGGAGGGTAATTTTTGGGAATAGTCTAGGGTGAGGAACTTGGGAGAGAGATAACCCTCTCAAAAGACTATTGATATTGTAATTTCTCTTTGATACTGCAATATGATTATGTTGTCACTTTCTTGTAACAAGGATCCTGACAATATCCCATGTTGATAAAATCATATTTCCTTTTATCTTGATATGGAGAAGCATTTCTTGTTGATTAACAGGCCAAATTAAGATGTAAGAAAATAGGACTTGTTTCCTCAAGACATTAAATGTTGTCGTTGGTAACTCCCACTGGGGCAGAAACTAATAGAAAGACAATTGAACCAACAAATTAGCCTCACGGAACAAAATTACTTTCATTCTCATTTATAATTTACTGGGTTAGTTCACTTCACAGGTAAAAGCCGGCATTGTTGTGACGGAAGCTGAACAAGTTCAGATAGGGATTGTAGATTTGGTTAACCAATACAAAATTCGGAAGCTTGTTATGGGGACTATGGCAGATAAGTAAGTTGTGAATTGTTCATTTTTTTATTTGAACTTCTACAAGTTGCTACTATTAGTTATCATAAGGTAATTTAGTTCGATTTGTCATTCTAATTGCTTTGGATTTATTATACTTGGCTGTTGCAATACAATTTCTCCCTGTGTGTGTCCGTGTAGATATAGACATACAAAAATAAAACAATATAACTTTGTTGTTGTAAGAGGATAAGATGAATTCATACCAGAGCTCTTCTGTTAATGTTCAATGCAGTTGTGTGAGAATGAAAGTAAAAAAGAGCTCTAGTAAAGCAGATTATGCTGCCAGAAATATCCCCTTACTATGTGAGATATCGTTTGTCAACAAAGGGAAGCACGTGTGGACCAGAGAAGCTGTTGAAGGCTCAAGTTTTACTTCATCGTCGTTGCTTCCCGAGCTTGCTGTCATCGAAAATTTTCGGACTTGGATATCTCTAAATGATGAGAGTAACTCATTCAACCAGGAATGTTCTCAATCTAGTTCTGCTAATGGTGTAATCGAAGGCTTAAACTGTGTTGATGGAGAACATTTTCACGTGGAAGGTGTTGTATCGCATTCTTCAGATAGATATTTCTCATGCCCTCTGCAGATTTCTTCCAGTCCAGCCAGTACAAGTTCTGGTTCAGGATTTTCTTCAGTGGAAGGGAGGGAGTCATCAGGCTCTGATTCAAAGGTTGAGGAAAGGGGTTTATACGGGGAACTAAAAGAAGCCATTATGGAAGCAGAGGCATCAAGGAACGAAGCAATTGAGGTGAATTTGAGATGTAGAAAGATGGAGCTAAAAGCTGCAGAATCCATGAAAAAGGTAAACATAAATTTGAAGTTTTGTGTGCATACTTTTTTCTAGGACACCCCACTTATAGTTTTTCGATTCAATTGCATAATTGGTATAGATTTGCAAAGATGGGAGATATTTATAAAGCTATAAAGCTTGATATATTTAGTTGCTCGTTGAATAGTAGTTATGTTCATAAACTGGTGTATGTTTTGTTACTTTTAAATCTAAGATAATCTTTTGTCTACTTTTAGTTCAAGGTCTTCAAATGTGTCAATGAACGTGAAACTGATCTTAGGAAAGGGGCAGAGGGAATGCTAGGGACGATAATCAAGAAGAAAGAAACACTCTCAGAAGAAAGGAATGAAGTACTGGAGGAGCTGGAGAGGACCATGAAAACTCTTGCTCTTCTCGACAGTCGTGCACGGGAAGTAAATCAGAAGCATGAAGAAGCCAGTGGAGAGCTTATAGTTATACAAGCATCAATTGCAGCTCTCAAGAAGGAAAAGCAGACTATACAGAGCCAAAAGATGGACGCTCTGAATTGGCTGTCCCAGTGGAAAAGTCAGGAAGCTGGATCTGCAAATTGTAACAGATCGATCGGATTTGTAGAGAACCTGAATCATCAGCTGGCTGAATTTTCATTCTTGGAACTACAAACAGCCACATGTGATTTTTCTGAAAGCTTCAAGGTTGCTCAGGGAGGATATGGTTGTCTTTACAAGGGTGAAATGTTGGGTAAGACTGTTGCCATAAGGAAGTTGCACCCACATAATATACTGGGTCCATCAGAGTTTCGAGAAGAGGTAAGATTTCTAAATCTGATATTGAAGATTCTATTCTAATTTTGGTCATTGAGCAAATTTATTATTTCATTGTTATAAATAAGAAATCCTTTAGTACCTGCATTCATCTACCATTATCTTCTAAAGATCTGGTTAACGAGAAACTTCATCTTCTTCCCTTCCCACCCCTAGATCTTGCTCATTAAACTGATCTTCCATATTGCCTGAACTGATATTGAGAAATTTTATGTGGATTTATTGATGTCTGTCTTTCAGCATCTTCATGAATAAAGCCTTGATGATTACATACAGAAATATTGCAGTAAAAAGTTTGTAGTTGCTAATCAAAGCATGTAATTGCGTATTTCTCTTCACCTCCACAAAATTTTATTTGTTATTTTCCACTAATAGTTGAAGGGAATTATTTGAGGAGAAAATTGGCTATGGGAGTGGTGACTTACCTTCCCTAAAGGTTGAAAGTTTGAAGCCCTACCCCCACATTTGAAATGTTATATTAAAAAAAATATATTTGCAGCTTACTCTTGCTTTGACTCGATTGTGACGTATTGCTCGTTTTTTTTCTTTTTTTGATAGGAAACAAATTTGCATGAAATATACAAAAAGGGCCTATCCAATGAAGTTACAAAAAACTTCTCCAATTGGATATAAGGGAATTTAAACCGTAACTATCAAAAGGATTTACACTTTTGCACCGTGATAAAACCAAAAATATAGTGATGGACCAAATGATTGGTGTCCTTGAAGATTCTAGAATTCCTCTCTTTCCAAACAATCCAAATATAGGCCCAAAATATAGGCCATGTTTAAGTTCATCCATAGAGTAGTCTTCTCCTTCTTAAAAGGATGCATCAGAAATATTGTCTCAAGCCAATCTGGACGTATGCTCGTGTTTTGTGCTGATAATTCAAATGACCCTTTTTCTACTGGCTTTCAGGTAGAAGTTTTGGTTCAACTACAACACCCTCATTTGGTGACTTTGCTTGGCGTATGTACGGAAGCCTGGTCCTTGATATATGAGTACTTGCCCAATGGGAACCTCCAAAATCACCTTTTCCAAAAAGGCTACACTCCATTGACTTGGAAGATTCGAGCACGGATAATTGCTGAAGTGGCAAGTGCCCTTTGCTTCTTGCACTCTTCAAAGCCTGAAAAGACTGTCCATGGGGATCTGAAGCCTGAAAACATTCTTTTAGATTCTGAATTCATCTCCAAGATCTGTGATTTTGGTATTTACAGGCTGCTATCTGAAGAAACACTATACTGCCCAAGTTTCAGACAGAGCACTGAACCAAAGGGTGCCTTTTCATATACAGATCCAGAGTGTCAGCGAGATGGAGTGCTGACGCCCAAGTCGGACATTTACTCTTTTGGGCTGATCATTTTGCAGTTACTCACTGGAAAACCAATAGTTGGACTAGTAGTTGAGTTGCGCAAGGCCATATCATTTGGTCAACTCAGGTCGGTTTTAGACTTATCTGCTGGAGAGTGGCCTATAGATGTCGCAAGGCGATTAGTCAACATTGGTCTACAATGTTGTGAACTGAAGGGCAGCGATCGACCCGAGCTTACGCCTACTCTCGTTAGAGAATTAAAGCAACTGCTAGTCACAGAAGAGAGACCTGTGCCATCTTATTTCTTGTGCCCCATTCTTCAGGTGAGTATTTTTCCTCTCCAAAGTTATATGTTTACCAGTGACATCAATAAATATAGTAATAGGTCTTGAAGATAAGGTTATGCAATGGATAAGCTACTTTAAAACTTAGATTTGCAGAGAACAAGTTCGTAATAGTCACATGCAAATAATGCCTTTAGTTTTCGTTCAAAACCGCGACTACAGGTCCTACATTAGAAGGATAGAAAGGTTTTTACATTCTTAGTTAGAACCACATACCTGTTGTTGGAATCTTTCCAAGTTATCCACCGAAAAAAGATCAGAAATAGTATCTCATGTTTTTAAGACCCTTTTCAACTTGTGATGGAGAGTACTCTGAAATTCGACTTGAGAATGCTGAAGTTATCTGGAAGAAAAAAACTTGTGACGTGATTGTTGTGATGCGAAGTGACCGATGTTTACATGTAGTAACCTCGAGTCAGCCACCACAATATCCATTTTTAAATGATTTTGAAATATACTCTAATAGTGAAAGCCAAAGCTTAGGTGGTGTTATATCTTGGGTTGGTGAGGGCTATATTCTGTCCCTCAAGTGTGTGAATCTCTTATGAACCAAGAGCAGAGGGTGCCTTCTCTGGGCCGCTAAGGCTCACATATACACTGGTTTTTGTTTCAGGAAATAATGCAGGATCCCCAAGTGGCTGCAGATGGTTTCACTTATGAAGGAGAAGCTATACGCGAATGGTTAAACAATGGCCGGGAAACTTCTCCAATGACCAATTTGAAACTCGGCCACCCGTATCTAACTCCGAATCATGCCGTGCGGCTCGCCATTCAAGATTGGCTTTGCAGAGCTTGAAAACCTCACTTAGCTAAACAACTCTAGCTCTGGTTGGTGTACAATATGTTGTTTATATCATCACAAGGCTATATATGATGTAGATACTTAAAATTTTGCAGAAATAAAGAGATATCTTTGCTCTTCTTTCTTTCCTTACTTCTGAAAAGCAGATTAAAACTCAGCTGCCTAAACTTTCATGATTTGGTTTGTGGGTTAACAACATTATATTACCCCCACACACCTTACAGCTTTCATCGTACCGTGCGAAGGAATAATTAAACCAATTGAATTATATTTTTGTCGGCTAAGTTTGGTTCTTTGTTTTGTTCTTTAAGGTCCAAAATCTCGTATCACTATTACTTCCCAACTGTATATTTAAACTCGAACAAGAATCATAAAGGGAAGGGTCCTACAGCTGAGGTATGAAGAGCAGCTGAGTGCAGTTCAAAGGGTACTGAACCTTTTTTATGTCAAAATTTAATGACCCAAAATGATGAGAGGTTTCTGCCTTCCCAACTCAATTTTTTGCATTTACTGTTAGAATTCCAAAGTAGATAGCAGTTGGGAGAATCATAACTAATCCATTTTTCTATCTCAATCCTATCTGACATTCTACTTTCGCCACGTGTCCCCTGTTACATAAGATTTTCTTTTTCTTTTTTTTCTATAATTCTTTTTTTGTCTGAATGGGACCCACTATTCTGTCGGACGTTGGCTTTGTCTGAGTTTTAATTGGTGGGTCTTCCACCATTTTTTTTTTGGTCAACTTTGTCTTATTTATTACTCCAACCACATCAAACATGAAACGTCCAACCATTAAATAAGTCAGTTGAGCTGATTTACTCTCTCTTTTTTTGGTATTAAATTCCATAAGAAGATTTCAAACTTGCAACTACTATGGTTGAAATGCCAAGGAATTGATTATTCTAGCTAGACTTGGCAAAAGAAATGAGTCGGTTTATCGCAAAAAATCAATCTTCGAAACTCAATAACACGTTCGATAAAGCTCGAGTTTGAAGTACGATGTGAAGATACTGAGAGATTACTGATGTTGCAGAACAGAAGACCCAGAAAATAAACAGGAAGAAGAAGAGAGGAGAGGCCATTGGTTAAAAAGGAATACCAATTATTCAGAAATTACAAATTTTCCTTCTTTGACAGTTTTTTTTTAATTAAAAAGAACAAGCTTTTACACTTTACATCTCCTTGCCACCTAGTAAACTGCAGAATTAAGTTCTAGGGGCAAATTCCAAGAGCCTTAATCTCTGCATCTTACAATGGTGATAAGGGAAAAGGAGAAAATTTTAACATAAAGAAAAAAGCCTGACCTTTTCCTGGATTCTTCTCTATATCATCTACCTGCTTGTTTCCTCTATTTTTTATACACATGATCTCCAAATCCTCCCTTCTAATGAAATTACAATGATCGATACATCGTCATGGTACTTCCTCCGGTCGCCCTGCGGTATTTCGAGTAATTCGTGGAAATCCATACCTGTATATCACCATAACCAAGTTAAGAATTTGAATATATCAGTGTTGTTATATTCTGAAAAGATGAAAAAAGAGAAGGGTTGTAGGGCGGGAATCTTTTCGTCGTACCAGCTCTCTTGGCAGCCCGAAACAGAAGTAGTTCAACCAGATGTTGAGCCGGGTCTCCCTCGGGTTGCAATGTGATGAAAAGTTCGACTTCAGAAACAGCTTCTTCGTTTGTGAAGTACTGGTAGAGTCCATCAGATGATAGTATCAAAAACCTGTCCTTTGGTCCTAATCTGTGGTGGTAGAGAGATGGTATACAATTGATGTATGGCGATCTCCCGACGTAGTCGATTCGGAACATCTCCAATAGTGCATTGTTCCATTTAGGCTGCACATAGGAAGAACACAACATCTGTGTCAACGACTGCAATCTCGGGATCGGGAATCAAAATTCCAATCTCAGATAGGAAATCTCATGTATTAACAGAATGATGAAATGCAAAAATCATATAACTTTGTGTCAATCCAGGGTGAAGAAAATGATTCAGTTATAAGTCCCTATGCCAAGCGCCCAGTTCATTAAACAAACTGAATTCATCCGATGGACAGAACCATATAGCATCGATATGCTATAGTGCTTGTAGCTGAAGTTTAGATATTATGCAATGGATGCATTCGACTGACCAGTTTGGACACCAGAGTGATAATGGTAGTTCCATGCCTCGAAATGTTTGCTTGGAACATTAAACGAAATCAACTATAATGAGTATAATCAGTTCGGAAGATGAAAGGTCAAGAAAAGAACAGTTGCAATCCAGATTAATGCATTTCAGATCAAACTAGCAAATCGGTTATCAATTCAACATTCACTAGAAAGATAAACACTAGATATAGTTTGAAGCGATCAATGCAGCTAATTGCTTCAGAAGAACAATCCATATAAGAGCAACACCAACCTGTTTGAGAAAACCAGCACCGAACGCACGGGTAACCTTCAACGAGCCTTTCACACGGTCGTTCATCACTGCACCAGCATCATCGGGGTGTTCATTTTTAATTCTCTGAACTTCCTGAAATACAAATCACAGCAAGAACTATATCAAGCAACAGAAATGCATCAAAATCCCAAAGGATATCATATCATATCATATCAGAAAAAAGTTGTCTTGCATTTTAGAATACTTATATCACCTCATCAACACTGGTGCTGTGATCCACGGAAAGCTGAAAAGCAGTAAGGTTGGCGGGGGTGAATCCTCTATCACCATCTAACGCTTCAATGTCATGAACTGGTTCTTCATTGATCTTTTCCAAGTCGTTCCGAATCTTCCCGAGCCAATAATCGGGCTCGGCCTTTTGCGCTAAAACAGCCCGGCTGTCACCAACATTCATCACATAAACATCGTCTCCCTTCATAAGCATCACAAGCACACACGAACCCATCAAAGCCAGTTCAGGATTTTCCACAAGCATCTTGTCTGCAGTATCCAAATAGGCCTCCTCTGTTTTCTTCAATGCCTGAGACAGAGCTTTGAGGACATCCGAATTATTAATCGACCTCGAACCGTTGGACCCGGATCGATTCAGTTGCTCCTTTAACCTCCGATCGAGTTCTAATCTTTCCCGGTCCCATTCGCACTTCCACCGCCGCTGATTATCCTCCCACTTCTCGGCGGCTCCTCGAAATTTCCCTCTTGAGTTCTTACCTTTCCTTCTCCGAGAATTCGATCCAGAATTTCCATCTCCACTAGCGCAAGGATGATTTTCTTGTTCCACACAATGAGAACAAGCATCACTCCCCCAATTTCTCTCCGAATCACTGTCATTAATCCCTAAAGAATCTCTTGTTTCTGAATAAGGATTCTCAGATCGTACAGGGGAAGTGGCCGGAGGGGCGACTCCGGCGGAATCGAGCTTCTCATCCCATAACAAACCTTTGAGCTCCTTGTGAACGGAGGAGTATAAATTCGACAAGAGATAATCGGGAGCATCTGGGCCGTTGAATCCATCATAAATCCCTACGAAAACCCACCCATGTTCTTCGGAAACCACAACATGAACTCGATCTTCCCCTGCTTTCCCCTGAGCCCACTGCAGATTCTGGCTCTCCATCGAATCGTCATCCTCTAGACTTCCCTCACTACTGAAATTCAAGCTGCTCACAGTCAAATTTTCGTTATGCTTCTCGGGCATGACGATCCAATCGGGTTCTTTAACCGCTTTAATCGGGGCAACAATGGAATTCTGCCCTCGATAAATCGACTTCGAAATCGCGCTTCGAAGAATCCGGATTAAGCGGCTTTTTCTGGATCTAGATCTGGAACCGAACCCTCCTCCATGAGAGAAACTTCTCTGAAACTCACCGGACGCAGAATTATCGAGAGGACCCGAAAAAATCCCCCGATCCAGTGGACCCGACATAAACCCTCGCTCAATTGGACCCGATAAAAACCCTCTCTCCAGAGGCCCGGAACATGGGATTCCACTGAAATTCCCCGAAATCGGCCCCGAATTGATCATGTTTCGAGGGATCGGCTGCAAAGGGATCGAAGCAAACGAAGTGGAGCTCTCAAAAGCCGCCGCTCGATCAATGCTATTGTAGGAATAGAGATCGATAAGAGCCGTGGAGAGGGGCGTCGATGTGTTGGCACTTACAGAAGCGCCGGAGATTGATCGGAAAGTGGTGGTTTCCTCCGAATGAACTTTGGACAAAGAAACCCTCAAAGGGTCCGGCCGGACATAGCAGAACGAGTGGCCGAGACCTTCATCGAGAGGATTCGATAGCAGAACGGAAATATCCGGCCGCCGGCGATTCTCCCCAACTCCGGTGAAGCAAACGCCGAGCTTCCCAATCCCGTTACCCATCGAGAAGAAGAAGAAAAAAATGAAAACTTGAAAAATAAAAAATAAAAAAAAGCTAAAACTATGTATATTTCATGGCAGAACGAAGGAAGAAGACGGAGGAGGAAAGGGAAGGCGAGTGGAAAATGAAGAAGAAGAAGAAGAAAGGGAGACAGAGGCGTTGACTTTGGAGTAACGTTGTTTGAAATAAGAAAAAACGCCGTCTTGGTTTTCAAATCTTTAAGAAAATTAAAAAATAAAAATAAAAATTGAAGAGGAAAGAAGAAAGAAAAAGTTATTATTATTTTTCCTTATTTTCCGTAGCGTGGGGCGTTGACTAAGGTTGGAAGTTTTACTCGGACTCAAATAGGCGTCTTTTCTTTAGGGTTAAAATAAATAAATAAATAAAAAGAAAAATCGGTAACCGAGACAGTGTTGTTCACGCGCGGCTTGAGTGGGGCCCGCTTTCAAATCAACGGTCCCGAACGAAACGTTTTGCACGCGTATAACTCGCCGATTTTGGAATTGGATTAAAATTAAACTCGAAATCCAGAGAATTAAATAAATGGAAAAAAAGTCAAACTGCAAAATTGAAGTTTTTTGCATCGCATGGGAAACCGAGTCACATCACCGTTGGATCATACGCAAGGGTTTGATGAAAACCATGGTTGACTGACACGTGGCAAGTGCCCTTAGCTCTGGTTGACGTTTCTGGAGCTCTCTACTCTCTTCCCCCTCCCGCAGCTAAACTTGACTTTTCCCTCTATTCCATAAAAGCAACCATTTATTAATTATTAATTCCTCTTATAAAATTCAATTTTTTCAAAGAAAAAAAATTGGGCCTTTTTTTTTGTCTTGTTTTTTTTGAGGAGTGCGTTGGGTTGGTTATTTATTGAATTTGGTATGGTGGAGTGGTTGCTGGTTAGTAATTGCGTTGCATTTACTACAATTTGAGAGTATTAGGTAGCCTTGACTTTCCATTTCTTTTTTATGTACTTCTTTATATATTTTTTTCCCTTTTTTTAAAAAACTCTTTTATGTTGCCTAATTCCTCATTAAACTTTACATAAAATTCATTTTCATCATCGTTTTACTAAATTTCTATGTTTTACTTCATAATAAATTTTAAGTTTAAATTTTTTTTTTTACTAATTTCTTTAAGTTAATTCAATTTACTTTACGCTGTTGACCTATTCTTGTATGTCATATCCTATTATATCTTCACCTGTGAGTTTAGTTAGCATGCAAAGTTAACATTTGAGTAATGATATTAATGTCAAATACTTATTGAGGTCCAAAATTGAAAATTTAAGGACATCATTAAAAATTATTTAAGTTCAATCACAAAATAAATATAATTATAATTAAATTTCATATCCGTTTCGTTTTTAATTTTTTTGGTTTTTTTTAATTAAGCTTCTAAATACTATTTTTACCAATATATTTCTTTATTTTACATCTATTTTTAGATATATTAAAAAAATTGAGCTAAAATTTTGAAACTAAAAAAAGTAATTTTCAAAAAGTAAATTTTGTTTTTTGTTTTTTGTTTTTTAATTTTGAAAGTACTTTGCACACCAAAATAGTTATAAGCAAACACGTATAATTTTAAAAAACATAAAATTAAAAATGAAAAGATATCAAATAGGACCTCAAGAACTAGATTTCTATCACGTGGATTTTCTTTTTAATACAACAAATGTTAAGACGATAGATTGAAAAGTTCTCACCTTTTAAGGAACAAAATACTTTTTATTTTTTTGAAGTTGGGGAAAAATAGAATTAATAATTTATTACTATTATTACTTTCAATTAACATTCAACTTCACGTTTTCTTCGTTTAATATTTGGTAAAAAATGAAAGTACATTTTCAACTCAGTGTGAATTAATGACCAGATTCAAGAAGTCTAATGTATCTAACAATTTCACCTAACAGTCAAAACTTCAAACTTACTATATTTGTATAAGAAATAGAGAATCTCTCCTGTTTTTCAACCCTACCAAAAATTCCTCATTTCCAATACAAAGTCAATTGTAATTTTTTTTTTCTCTTACAAATATTCCTTTCCCAACATTCATTTTTTCCTTTCATCAAATTAGTCAATATATTAGACCCGCTCAAACATTATAAAAACTAAAATATTTATTTATTTATGTATATAAAAATAGAGAGAATTAATTGTCAATTCGAGTTGCATAAAAATGGTGTTGTGGAGGTCAATTAGAAGTTAAATCAATTAATATAAAATGACCAATATGGGCATATACTCTCTCCACTTCCAGTTCATAGTTCATATCCCTAACATGGATGCCCATACACGTGTACCAATAGGAATCATCCACGTGGAAAATAAAACCAATATGTGGAGTATCGTGAGACAAAGCCAAATGGTTTTTAGGTACATGATGACACCCAACACCACCAAGAATTTAAAAGAAAAAAAAATGTTGATGGAATTTAATCCAATTCCCATGAATTCTAGAAATTAAAGGAGACCCCCAGTTTAGGGGTCGGAAAATAAAATTAAAAGATTGAATTAGTCAAATTCGAATATGAATTGCTTAAAATGTCCACTTTTGCATAATGATACCCCGTGATGAAAAAAGAAAAAAATAAATTAATTTCAAAGTCATAATGATTTCAAATATTGCAAGTGGGGAAAGCTTACGCAGCCACCATCTCCACAATCTTCCATCGTATTTTTTTATCCACGCCTCTATTTTTATTTATCCAATCGAATTTAATATTATATATTTATCCAATCCAATTTAATTAATATTGTATTAACACGAATGAAATGGTCTGATATTAACATCTCGCTCCGATGTAATTTATGAATTATCTTCTGTTATTCGTATGGAAGAAATGTGGAAATGAAAAATCGAATCTCGACCTCTAACATATGAACAAGATATTTTAATGGTTGAATTATGTTAATGTTAGCTTAATATACTAATCATAATTGGTAATAAGTCATTATTATTACGGAACTGTATATAAGATTATCATCTCATATTACGAGAGATTTTAACCTTAAAATTTATTTGTTCGTTAATTGACATTCTTGATCCCAAAAAATAACATATATATGTAAAATATTTGAATTTTTGTACAATCAACAAATAATAATCTAATACATATGAATTAGTTAATTGAATTATTTGAATATGATCTTTCATATATTATTAACACGTTGAAAGTTTTGAATATGGTTAGCAAGTGGGGCACTACAATATGGAAGTGATTAAGAAAAAAATATTAGTCAAACCAAATGAGTTTGTCGTCCTAATCTTAGCCATAATTATTATTTAATTAACCAACTTGGTGATATATATATATATATATAAAAATGTTAGAATAATGGATGAAATTACAGTAGTATAATATCACGTAAATATGAAATTGAAAAAGAAAGAAAGAACACAAGACCTATTGGGAATAATTAATGATTTCCAACGTGATAATGATTATGTTGAATATATATCTTTTTCATTAATTAAATTTATGGCTCGTCTAGAAGGAAAGATCCAGCCTTGCCCATTGACTAATCTATGTTTAAATATTAATTAAAATTATAATATAGGTATTTTTCTTGACAAATATTATGACATAGGGTTTGGATCTTGAAATATTGACTTGTGTTTTGATAAATTAATTGAACTTGCATGTACATTTTTACAATTATTTTAACGGAGGCGTGGGATATAAACGTAATTTGAAGTGAGATTATATGAACATAATTTTGATTACTAACCTTATAAAAAAATAAATATAACCCCTTAAAAGTTAAAGGTTGAACCTATTTTTATTGAACTAAATATTCAAATTGTAATTTTGTTCAACTCGGATGAATTTGAATGATTTTAAACTAAAATTTAAATCTTCCGCCACGAGGTTGAATGTGATAAAAAAATATTAGTTAAATACTATAAAATAAAATATTGAATGAACTGAAATTAAAGATATATATCTCCCTAATCAATTTATATTATATTTTACGGAAATTGTATTGGATGGCTAAACTTTTATATATATTTATAAAAATGTCAACCACTTTTGTATTTTTCAAATATGGTAAAATATTTGAATTTCTATTTTTGAAATTTTTATTATTCCAATTTTACTCTCATGATATCTAATATACACCTAATGTATATTTGATATACGCTCGATGGAAGTATATCTGATATACGCGCGATGGAAGTATATCTGATATACGTCCAATATATCTCTAATATACTTCCGATCTACATCTGATATCTGATGTACATCTGATATATCTCTGATATACATCATATGTACGTATTATACATCTAATATACATCTGATATACCTCTAATTATGATATACTAAATATATTTGTAATGATATACCTATGTATATCTTATATGATAATATTTGATGTATCTAAAGTAAGTAAGTATATATATATATATGATATATAATTGGTATATGAATGTTATGAGGGTAAATTTGATATTATATTATTGGATCTCCGTTTTTCTAAAAATTCTGCTATATTTGTAAATCTAAAATATAGATGTTAAATTTGTTTCTTTAAATTTTGTTGGCATATTTGTAACTACCCCTATATTCTACTAAGGATAAAAGATTCTGTTTTACTTAATAAATTTAGATTTATTTGGGTTTAACTTCAAGAGGAAACTTAATTAAGAAAGTTCAGAAGAGTGGGTAAACAAACCAATTCAAGAGTTGAATTGATTGGATTTTTTAGATGACCAAAAATTTTCAACGTCTAATTTTGACCATGATATAAAAGTCTTAGCTAGAATTTTGAAGACTCAGAAAGAAAAATCAATGGTAGTTAAAAAAAATGTATGACATTAACTTAAAGTAGATTTTGTTTTTCAATTTTATTTATTGTTATCTATTATTATTTATATAATCCATTACTATTCACGCATGCTAGAGAAAAAAAAATTAACAACATGATTTAGGAAAAAAAAAAACGAAGACAAACTAATACAAATTTGGTAGTAATTTCCAATATTTCAATACCTTAAACATAGTTGAATTAATCAAATATGTCTACTTATAGGTTTAAAACTCCCTTATTTAATTATAGACATAAAAAATGTTAAATATATATTTCGAGAGAAAAAGTATTATACCTCTTCCAAATTTCAAGTTTTGATTCTCTTGATTGACGTTTCCTTTTCCAAATATTAAGTATTATACATTTAACTTTATCATCAACCAATTTTAACATTAATTAATAGTATATCTTATAAAAAACTAGTAATCGGTGAGATATTAAATTGAAAATATCAAATATAAGAGACTAAATTGAAACATTTAAAATAATTAGAACTTGGTTAAAAACACTTTTGGTCAATGTACTTTGGCTAAAGTAACAATTTAGTTCTTGAACTTTAGTTTGTAACGATTTAGTTCCTGTACTTTCGAATTGGTAAAAATTTTGTCTTTGTAATTTAAAGTGGGTAACGATTTAGTCCTTATCGTTAAATTTTTTTTTTGTTAAATTTCTTATATATATAGATTGAAAAACAAAAAGAGACCAAATATGTTTATAATTATAAAGATTAAATTGTTATACGATAAAATTTTAAATGGGAGAGACTAAATTGTTACAAGTTCAAGTTCAAGAACTAAATTGTTACTTAAGTGAAAATACAAGACTAAATCGTTATAAACTAAAATTCAGAGACTAATTTGGGACCAGATGTATTTTTTAACCTTAAATTAAATTAAAAAAAAAAAACCTCCATCATTAAGCATTAAACATTAGAAGATATATTTAGCTAAAATATAAAATGGACAACATCCCATTCCATCTACCAAATTTAAATGTTATTACTAAAAGGGGCAATAGTGGAATTAAAAGCAATATAAATACAAGGCATTAATTAATTTCTATTTCACATACTGTTCACTTGACATTTGACCAAAGCAAAAGTTTTAACTCTCAATCCCATCCCCATGGTGTCAATTATTTGACTTTTGGAGGCACAATTACACATTTTTCTTAGAAAAAGAGGGAATATTCATATATTTGTAAAGTCAAGGAAAACAAATTAATAAATGAGAGAGACGTGTATTTTAATTTTTTTTTTCTAATCACCATTCACCTACCTTGTTTTCAAAATAACAATACTATTTGTTGTACTTTCAAAAAGAGAAGAAAAAAAAAATATTTTTGTTGTAACAAAATGAAAATCCTACAAGGAAAAAAAAAATATTTTTTACAATAAATATATGGACATGAATTTGAACTCTACAATCAATAGAATATATAAATATTTTAATCGTTAAAACGAAGTTTTAAAGAATAGTAAATTGTAGAAATAATAATAGTAATAATATAATAACAATTTTTTTGAACCCAAGTAAATGGCAAAAATTATTACTGCGTAATACCTTTATAGGCATATGATTACTTCTTCAAATTTATTTTACTACTTCAAATTTTAAAAATATCTATTTTAGTCTCAGAATTATTAAAAAAAATAATTCATTTTGATATTTTTTATACCATCTTTTTTACCTCCACATTATCAAATTGTTAGAAAAGATAGACAATAACTAAAACAGTTATTTTTTCAAAACTAATAAATTAAAATTGATATTTTAAAAGTTGAAGAAGACAAATTTGTTAGTGGAAGGATTAAAATAAAAGAATATACCAAGTTTAGGAAAAAAAAAAGAAATTTTAAATAGAAATATAGCAATTCATAGTTGATTTCAAGATTTTAAATGTTGATAAAAATATTTTTTAAAAATAAAAAATTTGTATATAATATTTTAATTAAAAAATAAGCATTTCACAATCTCTAAATTAATTAAAATGATTAATATTAATGTTACGTCCCTATTAACAATATTTTATTGATATTAATCATATTTTGTCAAATTTTTTACAATACCATAGAAATATTGATTTACCTTTCTTAATGATATCAATTCTATAAATACATGAAAATGTCGATAAAAATATTACATGTCCAGATATATTTAATAGCTTGACCGGTTAAAGTTGTGGTTGTATTTTATTATTAGCAAATAAAGGATAGGCACGTGTGCAAAGAAGGATATTTATGGGAAACAGAGAAGAAGAATAATTGAGGAAACACGGGAATCCAGAAGTTAAGACTTTTTTGAGTAATATAAAGTCACATTGTTGAGCCCTCCACTTTGTCACCATTGTTTGGCATCCACGTTTTTTTCTACAACAATTTCACACCTCTATATGGCCACACACTTGGAATTTAAATCTGTTTTTGGTCAATTTTTATGACCCAAATTTATGGCCACACTAGACCAAATAAAGGAAAGAAAAAAAAAAAAAACTTCGTGGGTTTTCTTCCTATTTGGATTTGTTCAAACGTTTTGGTTCAATTCATAATCTATTTCGGTATAGTTTGATTCCACATTAACAAAACATATGAAAAAAAATTGCAGCTAATGACTATCCGTTTAATATTGTCTTAAAATTACTACTTTACCTTGTAAGATTCTAACAAACATCCCGTCAATCATTGTATACTTTGAAGATTAAGTTAGTACTTAGTCTGAACTAGTGTCGAACATAGTTTAGTTAGTTTGTATGACAATCAGGTCAGTGTTGAATACGCTTTCCACAAGGTCAGTTGATTGTACTTGTCTCACCTTGTCTCCTGTGTGTAAGAATTAAGACTCAAACACACGTTTATGGGAAAAAGAGTCAGTGGCATGCTTGAATCTCATCCCAACAATTATGACTAAAACAAAGCATCTCAAATCTATCCAATAAATGAACTATATATATATATATATAAAAGTATTACAAAGTGGAGCTAGAAGATTGAATTGGACTTATAGTAAAAAAAAAAAAAAGAATGCTTTAGCTATTGAGTTTTGCTTGGCAAAGATAATAATTACTAAATCATGAACAAGTTGATATTTCACATCAATTATTGATATTATTTTACCCAAAAAAATGCTATTTTTGAAATGGGCCATAACAGAAGTGAGAGAAAACGGGCCCGTGCGCAGCTGGGCGTCAATCTATAATAGAACAAGACGAGTGAAAAATGGACCGGGAGTTTTGCAATTTAAATTTCTAAAGTATTTATAAAAATATTTTTTTCATTAAACTAATTGTAAATATAACATTTGTAATTACACTTTTAACATTACTTTTTTTTAGAACTAGCATTAATTCAAAAATACATTAGTAATTAACTGATTTGATAATTCATAATAATGCTTCTTATTTTAATAACTATCTGATAATTGTAATTATTTCTTAAATTGTTAGTTTTTGCAATGGGCCCGTAAATGAGCCCAGCCCTTAAGAGTACAAGAAAATTCCACGGCCTACATTGACCCAAAGAATTGAACCTTAAGTCCAGAATCCACGGGCCAAGCTCTCGTGAATATGGCCCACGATCCGTAAGCGTGTAGATCGATTCCAAATATTCATCGAAGAACATAGCTTTTTTTTTTTCATAACTACCCTTCGAATGAAAAATTCGAACCAACTTCGAGTAATTGCCGGAAATATAATCTGTTCATGTGAGTAATTTTTGCATTTCTTTAACAAGAAACATTCATGATATTGTGACGTTAAATCGAAATTTTAACTAAAATTCTCGTTGATAATCTAAGAAATCGTAGTTTTCAGATACGGCTTCAACATTTTAGGTGATACGGCTGATGGAAGGGAGGAAGGATGAAGAATTGAAAGAGAAAACTAATTTCCATTTCATCCGTGGAGAATGGGGGAACGCACACTTGTTTGGTTGCCGAGAAACCGATGGAAAACTTTCAAGCTGAAGGTTTCAGGCTCTGAACATCCAAAATAACAATCACCAACCCAAAGGAACAGCCGAAATATAGACAAATTTCAGTTAGGTCAACCGAAAGGGGATTGAATTTGCAACCCATTTCAGTTTCGACGACTTGCGAGGAAATTGGAAGCTCTCAGGTCAGTTGTAGCAGGTCAATATTTGTGTACCTAATTTCAAGTGGGGCTGGGGAGAAGAAGAAGAAGATGATGCCATTTCCTTGCTTTTTGCAGTTGATTATGATTTCTAGAAAAGGGACAGCCCTAGAATTATACATGGTTGCGTATTATCAAACTCGTTTTCATCGCTGAGATTTGATTATTTTAAATCCCCCAATCACATCAATGTTCTACCTCCCCATTCTATGAATCGCATTAGAATTCTATATTCAACGGCTTAAGAAAACAGCAACCATGTATTTTGGGTGGAATAGGTCATATCTTCATGTAACCTAACGGTCCTTGGAATTTTCGATAATTTCTGCAATCACCCAATTTCTCTCCCTATCTCTCTCTCTCTAGATTCTAGGATTGGTCAATTAACCCATTTGTTCATCTTATGAAGACTCTGCCCTGAGGTCGAGGTTATGGAGTTTGGACCAGGCGAAGAGACTCGTGTTGGGACCAAGGGTGCCAGGATTCACCAATCTTGGGTGCGGTGGGTCTCCACGGTTAGATTTCATCACTCGCCCTGTGTTCTGATCTGAATTCTATAATATATTATCATCTTGATTCTTTGATATTTATCAAATTCTGCTGTATCCTTATGAACACATAACAAAATGTTTTGGTAAGTAAACAGAAACAAAGTAGTTATGATAGATTTGGGTCGTAGTCAAATCAAATTCTTTATCATATTTCAGCGCTTTTACTTTTCTCTTCGGTTTACAGTAAACTCGGTCTTTTTCCACAAAAGAAAAACCTGCAAGTTTCCTATTTTCTCCTGTATTTAAATGTGTATGGATTAAAACTTCTTGTCTTCTATCTCATCTCCAAGAGCTTCCTTCTTCTGAGAAACTCCGTTCGCCTCTAAAAGAAAGCCTCACCTTTCCTTTCTTCTTGCTATTGCTATTAAAGGTTTTGAAACTGTTCCTCTTTTTTCTTTTGTTCTTAAATTCTGTAATAAATATCGAAGGTGCTGCAACTCATTTCAGCTGCATCAATTTATTGTCTTGTGAGAGTTTCTTTTGGGGTAGCTCTGCTTTTAACGTTTTCAAAATAATATCTCCAACTGAAAAAACCTGTTTATGTTTCTTTTGATAATTTGTTGGAGTTTTAAGGGTCTCGTTTTTGGTATCCAGGTTTGAAAAACTTCGTTCTATTATTACCCTATTGCCAGATTGAACTTTCTAACCTTTTTTCTTCCTCAATCGTGATTGTTTGAGTTTTGGAGTGGATGTGATGATACTTCTCATGTCTGCACTTTCCATGTTCGAAACTCGAGCAAGGAGCTTTCTGGACATGGTTGAGATTACTTTTTGATTTTTCTTGTTATATGGTGTTCATTTATGTCTTATATAAATTTCTAAACTGAGGACAATTGATTGGGGAACTTCCCAGATCATATTTGGTTCAGTTCCTGTAGATAAAAATCTTTTTGGTAGATCTTGAAATGGTTAGTTTTGTTTTTGCACCTGGACCCTAAAGGATGATAGCAAACAAAAGAGGGCTGAGCTTAGTTTCCATGTAAGTGTGTAGAGAGCTTGGAGGACTTCTCATCATGTTTAAAATGGAAAAGCACATCCAGCGCCAGGATTCCAATCTTCAGTTTAACAGAAACGTTCAAGGCTGCTTCTGGAGCATGTTCCATACTGTTGACTACCATGCCTGGCATAATGTTAAAAAGATGCTTCCTTACAGAAAGCATTCAAGAAGTAAGTTTGGAGCACGGCCGAAAAACTTTAATTGATGCTTCTAAATTTTGTTCTGGGTCTCCATATTTCTGTTGGCATCATTCTAAATGGTTAGAATTTTTTTCACTTTTGTCTAATATTTTCATTCACTGAGGTTGTAAGTCTAATTTTTTCTTTTGATTGCCTTTTCGTTAAAATAGAAGATATTTGTGTAGTCTAATACTGACCTTCTAGTTCAAAAAAGTTCAAATATTATGATACTATTAGATGCTAAGGGGATCAATTGGATTCAAGAGGAGACAAATTGTGAAAGTTGGTTCAAACTGGTTTTTGTGTTAATATAGCGATGGTCGCGCTGATAGCATTCTATTTGGGATTTATGTGGATTTAGTCTTGTCTAATTTCATTTGCTTCTTCCGAGTATTTAAGTCCTACTTCAAACCTCATATGCAGGCAAGGGAAGTCCAAAATCAACTGTTAACCATCATGTTGCCGAAGTTCCAGAACAAATCAAGGATGAAAACAAGACTCTATTGGTAAGGGTGTAGTAGCATTACTAGAGTTGACCAGACAAAGTATTGTGAGATATTATTAGTAAATTCTGAATTTTATCAATGTTTAACAGTGTACAACAGAGAGTTGCCCGTTTGGCAAAAGCTCGGGAGAAGCTCATGAAAAGGAAGTGATTACTAAGAAAAAGTCCGAGGAAGAAAGCCAAAAGGACTTGAAATTGAACTTCAATTCAAAACGAAGGTTAAGTCGAACTAAGTCGATTCATCATTTAGAGCCTTCAGGTTTTTCTCTAGGAGATAATGGCGAAATTGGAGACAGCAGAGTCGCTTCTCAACAGAGAACTCCCATGGAATTAGCTGCATCTGGAAAGAGGAGTAATTCTCTGAATGCCATGGATGCTGTGGACTACTTTAGCCACAGAAAGATTGCTATCCGGTCAACATCTTTTAGAGAAAAATCTAATGGAGTAAAGGAAACCTTAGAAACTAAACAGATCACCAGAAACGTCTCCAGTCGCTCGTTTAAGGAAGACCTTGACATCCAAGAGATATACAAGGCAAACAGAAAACTATTTGCTGAATTGTTACATGGTGTAGATGCTAACCAGTCTCTCCAGATCCCGAAAAATCCAAAGTCCTCAGCAAGTCTAGCGAAATCAAGGTCCTTTCCTGCCCCTGGTTTAGCACGGAAAGGATATAGAAAGCTCAGCTCACTCGAACACAAGCAGAATGAATCATTTCCAAAAGGAAAGAAATATGTTGCCGGCCCTCAACCATCAAAGCTGGTCGAATCTGAATCTCCTACGAATTTTCATAACTCTGCTGGTACTTCAAGCCATAACGTAAGACAACAAACTAGCTCTTCTTACTTGGGCCTGGGTCGTGGATTAAAGCATGGGGGGTGGAATCAGTTGGTTATCAAGCGTTTCAATTTTATTAAGCATAAAATAAAGCACCCGTTCAAGGAGAGAAAGAAGGTAAATAACCAGAAAACAGTTAAACTAATACCAACTGGACATGAACTTCCCCCTGCTAGAGAAGAATCACAGGACAGTTTAGGAATTACCACAAGGAAAGATAGCACAGACATTAGAGGTTATGGTGAGACTAACAGTTATGAGAATGATAATACCGGTGGTGGAGTTCAAGCAAAGATGAGAATTGCTTCATTAAATGCTTCGCTGGAAAGATATTCTCAATTGGCCAACTCCGGTTTCAATAGAAACACAGAGGCAAAGTGCCACAACTCAGAAAGCTTAAGGCTGACAAGTGAAGATAAGATTCCGAATAGAGAGAAGTCTAAAAAATCCTTTGGAAGGAATCTTTCTATGCCTGATATTGATCTTTTTTGTACACTATTTACTGATCCTCCTCATGGTGTTTCTCGCACAGAAAAACCAAAAGCGGGTTTGGTGCATTCAAATATGGAAAATATTCGTACAAATCCAAATCCGGCCAATCTATTAGTGAATGCAGATAGATCCGAAGCACTGGATAGTGATTCACAGAGTATGGTACAAAGAAGTGATGACATTGAAAACATGCCTGTTGATCAAACAGGTTGTTTAAACGTGGTCCATAACAATGAGGTAACTGCTTGGGATGAGCTTGAGGAGAAAATACCTCACCTAGATATTTTAGACAGCAAACACCATCAGATATTGGGTAGTGAATCCAGATTCGATGATGTCAGTGAGCTTTCAGACGTCAGTCAACTCTTAGAAATTGAAACTTGTTTTCAAGATGATGACTTTTTAAAGCTCTCCGACTTAGAAGGTAAATATCAGAAGCTATCTTCTTCTAAGTTCTAACTAATACCTTAAAAACATATAACGTGCCTTCATGTATTAACATTTTCTAATCCTCTGGTGAATTGATTGGATCTATGCTATTGCTAAAGTTATTTATCAATTTTGCCAGAAATGATAACTCATGGTTTTGATTAAACTGTGTCAGGTTTTGAACTAAATACTGAGTTCGGTATTGCAAGTGAGCTTGACCCATTCTCTGACCAACCTAACATGGTTAGCACAGAGGCCTTACCAGATTTTGAAGCCACGGTCGAGCAAGAGATAATTGATGAAGCTGGAAAGATTTCTAACTATCTCTATCTACGTTCGGAACTCGATAGTATCGAAAATGTTGATTTCAACTATATGAGGTATATTCTTCAGCTCTCCAGCTTTATCGAAAGTGGTCATGTGAGATCACTCAGTTCTTCGATGTTTGATGGAGAGGAGGCCCACTTTTACAAGAAACTTGAATACTATTGGAAGAAGGTTGACAAAGATTCTGATCACCAGCTTCTGCTCGATTTAGTTTATGAGACATTACATAATGTTTTTGAAAGATCATTCATTTGTTTCCTCAAAACCTTCTCCTGGAAGAGCCGAATCCGCCCAATGCCACTGGGGCAATGTCTTCTAGAGGAGGTCCGAGAAAAAGTTGCCTGGTACCTGTGCTTGGGACCGGAACTAGACCAGTCTCTAGATGATGTCGTGGGGCGAGATTTAAGTAAAGGTGACGATTGGATGAACCTCCAATCTGATACAGAGTTCATAGCTCTTGAGTTGGAGGATTTGATTATTGATGAGCTTTTAGATGAAGTAATATATTTTTAGGATTTTTCTGGGTAGATGTTCATACTGTACAGTGGCAATCTCCAAATCTATGTACATAAGTTCTGATTCCAGAAAGCTGGTTCTCCTCCAGCATGAGTTTATAGTGTCATGTCCAAGTAAATGAAAAATATAAACAGCAAAATAGATGCAGGGATAGTTTGTTTTTCTTCTTTTTTCTTTCTTCTGAGAATTTTCAATCTCATGTAAATTATTATACATACTCTATATTTGTTCACCATAGAAATATGATTTCTTATAGTTACTTGTATGATTCATATCTTCATTTAGAATACTCTTAGTTCACTACAGTTTTTTAGAGTTACAATGAAGTTTGCAGCAAACTTGGGATAAAGAGAACATTTTACATTTGTTGGGAATTTTCCCACATAAAAATTCAACTTTGAGCAATCTATTATTTGGAAAGTTCTCCAATTCTTATTAACCAGAAGGGATAAGACTTTGGTGAGTTGTTTTCGTTTAAGGTCTATGTTTTCAACATGGAGTCGATCCCACGTCTCATAGGAAGGGGAAATGAAAAAAGGGAAGCCCTTTAAAGAAGTTTTTCTAAGGATAATGCATTCTAAGGATATCATAAGACAAATGTTTGATTCACATTCAATATGAAGGTTTCATTCATTTTAACTCTACACATCCAGCAACTGCAGAAGTGGCTTTAAAGACAAATGTTTTCCCTCACATTCAATACGAAGGTTGCAAAATTGGATGGAACTCATAGTTTGATTCAACCAGATAGCACGGTGCTGGAATATGCCAATCATAAGATCAAATAGCGAGTGTTAAATTCCATAAAGTTACAAATTCCGAATCCAATTAAGAAATTAGAAAATGTCAACAAAGAGCCATACGTGATTGAAAAGAAATTCTGTTCTCTTCAACTTCCCAAACAAACTATTCAGTCTTTTCGTGATTCTTCTTGCATTTCGATTTGGAAATCAATGGGATAATACACATATTGAAAAGGCACACACGACAGACTACAGGTTTTATGAAATGCAATACAATAATAAATTTCAACCGTGATCTTGTCAATGAACCAACAATGGCTGGGTTTATTATTGGTAAATCCACAGCTACCAGGGTGATCACGATATCCATCATCTCACACCAATTTTGCTACTATTTGGCCTGCGGTTAAGAAAATACATCCATTAAACCATGGGGAACTACATAACACAGAAAGCATCTACTTGGCACTGACGGCTGAATACTATATAATCATAACTGCAAGATGAAGAAGCAGAAGTGATCGTAGTATATCAAACAATTTTGCAAAATCACTCAAATTCAGAACTGTACATATCTAAAAATCTAAGCAAAGCAACAAGGAGGGAATGAAACCGTTATGTTATATTACATGCCACTTATTATTGTTCCATAAAAATATAACACGGTTGACGGAAAAAAAAAAGGAAAAAAAAGTTTGAAGAAAGTTACTAACTATTCATCCACCTCTCGACGGTGTTTCCTACTCCTCTTCTCAGAGCGCTTCCTTGCCCTGCCCCTTGTATCATCAGAGCTGCTAGCTTCAGAATCAGTTAATGATGCCTTTCTACTCTTGTGTTTGTGCCTTCCATGAGATTCCTCAGATGTATCAGAATCAGAGTCATCAGAATACCTATGGCTTCTTCTCCTTCTCTTCTCTTTTCTACTCTTCCTATGACGTCGCTTAAGTTTTTCACCCTCATCCGATGAGTCATCTCTTTTCCTGTGCTTCTCCTTTCTCCTCTTCCTTCTGTTGTCATCTGAATCATCAGATTCTCTTCTTCGGCTCCTCCTTTTTGACCTCCCCCTCTTCTTCTCTCTCGAATCTGAACCTGATCCATCATCAACCAAATCATCCTTTCTTTTCAATGATCTTTTCTTACCACTCCCTTTTTTCCCTCCCCTTTCAGCAATAATCCTTTCAATCTCTGAATCGACATCCGAGTCAGAACTTTCACTCTCATCCTCCTCACTCTCCTCATCACTCTCAACTGCACCTTTCCCCTTACCTATATTTCCTTTTAATTTATCCAGCTCAGACATAACATCAGCCTGGATAGCCTCTGGGTCTTTCTCCTTATCATTCTTAACACTCAAGAAATTCCTGCACTGAAAGCTAAGGTGTCCAACACGTCCACATCTCTTGCAAGCACCACGAACCTCATTGGCATTGGAACCAGTTATGCGAGCAAGTGCAAGAAGACCCTGAAAGCTTGCATATGCATTCTCTGCTTCTGGCTCAGAGCTAGCCGTGTTTGGTTGTGCAGAATTCTTGTTATCATCCTTGTTGGGTGCATATGGATCATACCCAATTGCACTCTGCCATATACCATGCGTTTGTAGGGCAGCACTACTATGTACCCTATTGTTCGCAGGCATGCGAACTCTTCCAGCTGTGGCTGGCATCTTGAGACTTGGGAATCAAACGCTGAGGAAAAATCAACTACTCAGAGGTAAAAGGCCTGTGAGAAACATTAAAAAAAAAATAAGAA